TGGTACGGGAGCTTCCCCTTGCTTTCAGAGCTCCCCTTGCTCAAGGGTTTCTTTTTCTATCCTGTTTAAATAAAAGTCTACTGAAGACCGATAAGCTGCGAGCAACATCGTTCCTTTATGGGCAAGGGAGCGACACACAGGCTGTGGGCCGTTTCAGTGGCTGACCAGAGCTAGTGGGGTATAAAGCAGTAGCAGATGTGGCTATGGGCACTTTCTCAGGGTAGGATGATAGGGCAGGTGCATCCGCTAACAAGGCAGACTCTCAGTCGTGTTCAGCTGGTTCTGGTTGGCTGAGAGTTGCAGGCTTGATGTTTCCGGCTGGTACCCAAATGGGCTGTCCCACATTCTCTGGAAAGACACAAGCATATCCTCGGCCCTAGGTTAGCAGAAGCCTTTTTACAGGCGTTGGAATCCAGGGCCTGAATTCTGTGTTCACTTCGAGATTAATGGCAAACAAGCGGGTGGGATGAGGTCTAGCTGCTGTCCTGAGAGCCTGGGTGCCTGGGGACTGCCACAAACGTGGGGATCCTCACTGGGTGCAGATGGGATGACCTCGCATTGGTTACTGCCTGGAGATCGTCTAAGTTCATCCCACGGATATTTGGGGGTGGTCAACAAGGCATTGCTGCGTTGTTTGCTACATTGTCGTTTTCACTGTTGGATCTCTCTCTCCCTAAGTTTCAACTGTTGCCTGTGAGGCAGCAGCCTGAAGTGACAGGCTCTTATCACTCACAGACTCACTATATTTCTCCTGTGCTTAGTGGGGGACTTCCTTGATTCATTAGGTAAAGGCCGCATGCCCACACGGTGTCTCCGGAGCGTCACCTCTCTCGAGTGAGGGACAATGACATGCTTCCGAATTCTGGCATGATCAGTCCTTATGTGAATTCGCCGGGCGAACCGACAGTAAAAGGAGGAGCTGAGAAGCGGCATTAGGCTTCAGGGTGGTGTGTGCCTGCCTAACCTGGGGTGACTTAGACCGAGGACAAGGACAAGGAAAGGGGCGTAGGAGGGGGTCCACAGGAACACCTGTCCTATTTTATACACGCAAGTGTTCAGCCTGATTCTAGAATCACAGACAAAAGCCAGTTAGGATCTTTTTGATTAAACTTGTTGTATTTAGTCTTTGACAGGTGAAGGAGGCTCAGTCCCACCATGGGGTCTGGATTGCACCAAGACTCGAAAAGAGGGCAAAGGCTGCTTTGTTGTTTTCGGGGCCACACAGGAGGGGAGGATAAGGCAGGACCCAGTGACTTGGAAGCCATGGCCTCCCTTTTCTGCTGTCACTTTTGCGAAGTCCTGAGAAGAACTCCCTGGAACTCCTTGTCACACGTGACAAGTTCAGGTTGCTCTGAGCTAGGTAGCTCCACTGCCCTCTTGGTCAAAACACAACCTGTGTTGCTGGTCCTTTGAGAGAGGAGCTGTGTCATTGGCCCAAAGGAGGCAGGAGCATGTGAGGGTTCCAAGCTGCTTCCCCCATGGTGTGGGGGTGCAGGGGGCATTTTATAGATGACGCAGCAGACAGCTGGTGTGTGGAGATGCAGGTTGGGCAAGTTCTCATTGGAGGAGCTTGGAAACAGGCTAGCATGGCACTGGCTCCTGCATACAGCTGCTTTGCCAAGCAAAACACTGAAAACACAAAGACCTTTGGACTTTCATAGCCTGTAGCACTGGGGCTGGGTGAAGTTTAAGGCAACGTCCTTGACATTTTCAGGGGCAGTAGGCCGGGCCCCTGGGTTAAATGGAAAACAGGGGGCAGGGGTTCGGGGCAACGGATTAAGCCACCGCTTGGGATGCCTGCATCCCACATCAGAGTTCCCGGTTGGACTCCCAGCTGCTCCACTTCCACTCCAGCTCCCCTAATGCATCCTGGGAGGCAGCATATGATGCACAAGTGCTTGGGCCCTGCTGCTCATGTGGGAGCCCAGATAGAGTCCCTGGCTTGTGGCTTCAGCCTGGCCTAGGCCTGGCTGTGCGGGCACGTGGAGAGCGAAACCGTGGATGGAAGATCCCCATCTCTCTCTCTCTCCCTGTCACTCTACCTTTCAAGGAGAAGAAAATGATAAACACGTTTTTAAATTGCCAAAGAGAGGACCGGCATTGTGGCACAGCGGGTTAAACTGCCTACCTGCTACACCAGCATCCTATAAATTATTTTATTTTTACTTTTATTATTTTTTAGAGGAAGATTTTATTTAATAAATATAAATTTCAAAAGTAGAACTTTTGGATTCTAGCAGTGCATCCTGTAAGTTGAAGTGCTGGTTCGAGTCCTAGCTACCTGCTTCCCATCTAATTCCCTCGAACACGCCTCGGAAGGTAGCAGACAAGGGAACAAATATTTGGGACCCTGTTACCATGTCTGAGACCCTAAGCGAGAGGCCTGGCTCCTGGCTTTGGGCTGTCCCATCCTCAATGTGGTGGCCATTAAAAAATATATTTATGTCTTATTTGAAAGAGTGGCAGAGAGAAAAGAGAGAAAGAGAAAGATCTTCCATTCCTGGCTTCACTTCCCAGATGACCACAACGGACAGGGCTGGACCAGGCCAAAGCCAGGATCCAGGAGCTTCATCCGGGTCTCCCACATGGGAACAGGGGTCCAGGCACTTGGGCCATTCTCTGCCTCTTTCCCATGCGCATTAGTAGGGAGCTGGGTTGGAAATGGAGCAGCCGGGACACGAACTGGTGCCCATACACGGGGTGCTGGCATTGCCGCCAGCAGCTTTACCCACAACGCCACAACGCCGGCCCCCTAAATAAATAGTGTTACAAATTCCAGTGTGAACAGATGGACAGGTGGAGCATGGTGTTCCACCGCCTTCCCGCTCTGCGCCGGTGCTTCAGTCACTACATGGGCAAATGTGGACTCCTGGAAAGGACGGGCGGGGCCCTGGGACCCCTTCAGGGCCTCTGTCTTAAGGGTCCTGGGCGTTTCCTGCAGGCATCAAGGGAGAGAATCAGCAGTGAAAGGCAGACAGAGGACAAGGGACAAGGCCAAGCCGAGTGGCTGGGTGAGGTGACAGTTCCGTCAAAGGTTACCTGAAGGCCAAGGAGAAGAGAGGAGACACCTTGGCATTCCCGGCCTGGGTGTACCTGTGCTCCCGGAAGTGCGCCGCCCTACTTCCGGCTCTGGAGGGCGGGACTCCCTTTGCCATTTGGGCTGAGCCCCCAGTCCCAGATGGTGAGCCAGCTGGAGGGGAGGGAGTGGGATGCCCTGAGTGACGGGTCAGGAGCCACTGATAAGCGATGCTACTTACTCCAGACCCTCCATGGCCTCCATGCTTCTGTCTTCTTGGAAGACCTGCTGACTCAGAGGGGTCACAGGGACCAGTCCTGCAGACGCCAGACAACAGGACTTGGGGCTTGAGGTGGCCGAAAGATCCACCCTTGCGGGGCCGAAGGAGTCTGACACCCACTCTGAAGTCTCAGACCCGAGGGTGGGGGAGGGCTCCAGGACCTTTCTGCCATGGTGGCTGAGAGTCTGGGGCAGGGGCCCAGCCCCACCCTGCCCCAAGGAGCACCTGCACCCCCTCAGCCCCTCAGCTTCCCTCATGCTCGCTGGAATGACGTCTCTTGGGAGGGGGGCAACTTGCAGCCCAAGTCACCCTTCTCAGAGACAGAGATGGTTTGAGAAGGGGCTGGCAGGTTGAGGCTGGCTGGCTGGCTAGCCTTGCTAATGTACAAGATAGTCCCCATGATGTGATAGAACTCATAAAGTGGTATATGGTTGTACGGGTGTTTGCCATGCCATTCTTTAAACTTTACTGCCTGCTTGTTCTTCGTTTTTTTTTTCTTTTTTTTTTCTTTTTGTATCAAAATATCAGGAAAGAGGGGGAAAATTCTTTTTTTAAAGATTTATTTATTGGGCCGGCGCTGCGGCTCACTAGGCTAATCCTCCGTCTTGCGGCGCCAGCACACCAGGTTCTAGTCCCGGTCGGGGCGCCGGATTCTGTCCCGGTTGCCCCTCTTCTAGGCCAGCTCTCTGCTGTGGCCAGGGAGTGCAGTGGAGGATGGCCCAGGTGCTTGGGCCCTGCACCCGCATGGGAGACCAGGAAAAGCACCTGGCTCCTGGCTCCTGCCATCGGATCAGCGAGGTGCGCCGGCCGCAGCGCGCCGGCCGCGGCGGCCATTGGAGGGTGAACCAACGGCAAAGGAAGACCTTTCTCTCTGTGTCTCTCTCTCACTGTCCACTCTGCCTGTCAAAAAATAAAAAAAAAATAAAAAAATTAAAAAAATAAAGATTTATTTATTTATTTGGAGGTCAGAGTTACACAGACAGAGAAGACGCAGAGAGAGAGAGAGAGAGATAAAGAGAGGTCGGTGGGGATTCAGATCTGATCTGGTCTGGGGAAGGGGATGCCTGGATTGAGTGGCAGGGAGTGTTAGTGAAGTGGGCACCTGAGTTGAAACTATCTTGGTGCAGAGATGTGTCAGCTGTCAGTTGAAGGACTAGGAACCTGGGACACTCAGGTGACTGGGAAAGGCCAGGCGTGTGTCGGTGGACAAAGAATCGTGACAAAGATCCCATCTGCTGGTTCACTCCCCCACATGGCCACAATGGCCAGAAATGGGTCAATCCAAAGCCAGGAGCTTGAGCTTCTTCCAGGTCTCCCAAGGGGGTGCAGGGCCTCAAGTGCTTGGGCCATCTTCCACTGCCTTCCCAGGGCACTAGCAGAGAGCTGGATCGGAAGTGGAGCAGACTGGACTTGAACCGGTGCCCATATGGGATGGCGGCTCCAGGGGCGGAGGACTCACCTACTGCACTCCAGCGGCCAGCTTGTCGGTGTTGGCTCTGATGCTGGGTTCAGGAAATTCAGCCGTCTCCAGGCTGAGGCCTATACTCCATCCTAATTCAGAAAGTCCCCGTCCTGGCTGTGTCAGGACACAGCGCTCGCCAAGAGTGAGCGCTGACCTTCTGCTTGGAGGGGAAAAGGAGGGCGTGGCTACAGCCAGACCAAGGGTGGGCCAGAGACAGTTGGACCCTGGAACATCAGGTCTGGAGGATGCACTGCAGGCTGTGGACAGTGCTGTGCACCTTGAGCCTGGGTCTGGCTAGGTGGGAGCTGAAGGGTCAGGCCACCCGGAGGCCAGAGGGAAAGGGGGAAACCTCCCCCTCTGCTCTCTTCTTCCCCCTGCAGCCTCACGATGTGGACCTTCATGCTCCTGGGCCTTCTCTGTGCCTCGGCCTCTGCCAGTGCCAGTAAGTGAGCCGCTGGGACTCTGGTGGCGGGTGGCGGGAAGGGGCCCCTGCTCGGCTGGTGGCCAAGGCTTGCAGGGCCGCCCCTGAGTGGTGGGAACTGGGAGGTCCTTGCCTCCAAGCCCCCCTTTCTTTCCACTGCAGTCCAGGCCAGGTCCTCCTCCTACAGTGGCGAGTACGGAAGTGGAGGAGGAGAGCCATTCTCCCACTCTGGCCTCCAGCTGGAAGGGCCCATCACAGCCATCCGTGTCCGGGTTGACAGCCGCTATATTGCGGGGTAAGGCTCCTCCGCATTCCTCAAGCTCTTACTAGCTCAGGAAGTGCTCTTTCACTCTGGGCCACCTGTGCCTCAACCAACAGGTCCCTAGTGTGGCAGGATATGGGGATAGCTGTGAGAGGACTCGGCTTCCAGAACCGTACCCTTTGGACTCCTCCCTCCCCAAATATGCCTGGTGGTGGTAAATCGTTAATAACCACTAACTCTCAGGGGCCTGGAAGTCGACCAGCCCTGCCCACCCGCCTTCTGCGGTTTAAAGTTTCTTTCCAATATCCCTGCTGGGTGCCCTGCAACTTTGCTCAACGCCTCTCTTGAGCAGTCCCCACTCCATTGCCAGTTGGAAAATTCTATCACGTGCAGAGCCAAAGTGTGTCCCCTGATCCTGGATCTGCCTCCTGGGACAGCAGGGACAAGCCTCTTCCCTCTCCCACAAGGGAGCCACTCAGCTGTTAGAAAATCCCTTTGCTTCCGCAAGTGGGGGAATAGGGTGGGGCATCATAGGAAGCTGGACTCCAAATTCAAGGCCTGCCATTTGCGGTATGTGGGAGACTCTGGGCAAGCTGCCTTCCTTCTCTGCACCTGCTGTCAGCCAGGCCAGGAGCTGAAGTTCTTTGTGTGGTCCTCCAGGGCTCACCCGGCCTACACTTTTGGGGGAACTAGCAGGGACTGCTCATGCTAGCGTCCAGTTTGGAGGACTCCACGTGCAGGTCAAAAGGTCCTGAACTCTGATGACCTAATCAGTGTCCCCGTTCCTGCCCTCCCACCCGCCCCAGTCTCCAGGTGCGCTATGGCCAGGTGTGGAGCGACTACGTGGGTGGCAAGCTGGGAGACCTGGAGGAGATCTTTCTGCACCCAGGGGAGTCGGTGATCGCGGTGTCTGGGTCATACAGCAACTACCTGAAGACGCTGAACTTTGTGACTGACGAGGGTCGCTTCCTTTCCTTTGGGAAAGACACAGGCATAATGTTGTATGCTGTCCCCTTGGACCCAAACACCGTGCTCTGATTCATCAATGGCCGAGCTGGCTTATTCGTCACCGCCATTGGCCTGCACTGGGACAACTTCCCCAGAAACTACCTCAGCGACTGCTGAACCCGCCTCCTCCGTGGCAGGGCCCCGTGGTGGGGTGTGAGAACTCCCTGATCACCATTCCCATACAAATGGCTCAATAAAAGGACATGGCTAAAGCTGGTGTGCATGTGGGTGTGTGCAGGCGGGACCCACTCTTGGAGGGCGGTGTGACTCTCAGCTCTGGCTACCTGCTGCTAAGAGTGGGAGCACGAGGGAGACAGGTGTTGAGAATCCTGGGCTCTTCCGTACGTCGCAAGGAGAGTGACGCTGGTTTGAACCAACTCTTTTCGGGGTTAGCTCTTGAGAATGTCTGTCCAAACAGGAGTTCTGAAGGGAAGGCTCAGCGGGGGCACACCGCCGAGCCCCAGGTGAGCCTCTCTGGTGCCCTCCCCCCTGAGAAGGGGCTGGCTTCTCTGACCAAGGGCTGTCCCCTTTCCCTGGAGCTCAGCTGCAGGTAGGTGGCCTGCACCTCTGTCCTCCCATCTGTCCCAGATGTGATCTCCCTGCTGAAGTTTCGCCCCAGTTTGTGCTTAAGGACTCCACCCCATTCCCCAGGCCAGTTCTTCCTCGTCTTTACCCCTAACCTGGTGCTCTTGCTTAGCCCTCTGGGAACTGGCGCTCAGGCAGATGAGAAGCCCGTGGCTGAGACACACCCATGTCCCGTATTAGAGCGAGTGGGTTTCATTCCTGACTCCACCTTCCTGCTGATGTGGCTCCTGGGAGGCAGCAGGGACGGTTCAGGATGGTTCAAGTGCCACCCACACGGGAGAGCCGGTTGAGTTCTCCTCCAGCTTCTGCCCCCACTCCCACCTCTCTAACAAACAGAAAATAAAAACGGAGCCGGCGCTGTGGCTCATAGGCTAATGCTCCGCTTATGGCGCCGGCACACCGAGTTCTAGTCCCGGTTGGGGCGCCGGATTCTGTGCCGGTTGCCCCTCTTCCAGGCCAGCTCTCTGCTGTGGCCAGGGAGTGCAGTGGAGGATGGCCCAAGACCTTGGGCCCTGCATCCCATGGGAGACCAGGAGAAGTACTTGGCTCCTGCCTTCGGATCAGTGTGGTGCGCTGACCGCAGTGCACCGGCCTCGGCTGCAATTGGAGGGTGAACCAATGGCAAAAGAAGACCTTTCTCTCTGTCTCTCTCCCTCACTGTCCACTCTGCCTGTCAAAAAAAAAAGACAAAACAAAACAAAACAAAACAAACAAACAAAACCCAAAAACACGGTGCAAGGAGAAGCATCAAGATTACAGAAGTTATTGCGCCAAGGAGAAGAAATAGCCAGGATTTCCATGACCAGATGTCAGGCCACAAATCCCAGCCCTGCTTGGCCTGGTCCTGGAGCTGCTTGGCTTTGTCCAGGAAAAGTACGAATTTGGATTTGTACCTGTCCAGTCTGATTGACACAGAGACAACATTCTTCCTAGAACATGGCACAGACAACCCCCAGAACAGCACTTAGCATGTCCAATTTCTTTCTTTCATAACCTTTTGTGACTTCCACACACCCTCTTCAACTTACTTGAAACATGCCATCATTTCCATTCCAGTCTAGAGTAAACTAGCCATCAGGATTCTTACAACCATGTCCTTTCCTTATTTAAAAAGCTCTTTCCTTTTTAACCCTTCTTGCCAAGAACACTCTTTCCTTCTAAACCTTACTTACCAAGCACACATTTTTATCCTTGTGATGTTTTCCATAGAGCCTGGTTGGCTCTTTCTACCTTACCAGAAGTCTGAGGTCTCCATGCAGAGTGAAGGTGCCTTACAAATCCCCTGTGTGATCTAGAGCTCTGGTTAAGGCAATCAGTTTGCTAACTGAGCAAAAGTTCCTGGGGGCAGAGCACGCTTCAATAACGTGCCATGCTGTAACTGTTGCATACCCGGAGAAGCAGGTCCCATCTGACAAAGCTGCTTCCATCTTGAACCAAACTTCATGTGTGTTAGTCAGGGGGCTGTCTTTTAGGTCCCTTCTGCTGGCATAGATCAAGTCTATAGTCTCAGCAGAGGAGTGGAGGGGACCACTTTCCCCCTGGGTTTGAGTAGAGCAATGCCTTATTTTTACCTGAGGGTTTTTTAGGAGGAGGACCTGATATTTTAGTATTCTGCGATCTGTGAGCCAGTGAGAGCCCTTTTGCTCTAATAGAGAATTTATTTGGTGTGGGGTATAAAGGGCGATGTCTTGTCCCACTGTAATTCTAGATACCTCCTCTGTCAGCAAGGCAGCCGCTGCCATTGTCTTTAGGCAGTGAGGCTATCCTTGTGCAACCATGTCTAAGGTTTTAGAAAAGTAGCCCACAGGTTGCTTAACAGGTCCCAGATCCTGAGTTAACCCTCCTAAGGTGCCTCCCTGCCTCCCAGTGAAGTACAGCTGGGAGGGTCTCTCTGGGTTTGGCAGTCCTAGCACAGGGCTTTAGTCATAGCATCCTTTAGTTGAGCAAAGGCTGTGGTTTGCTCTTTCCCCCAAAGGAGGGGGCTCTGCTTTGGCTGCCTATCGAGAGCCTGGTTTAGGAACTGTGCTGTTTTCCTGTATCTGGGAACCTGATAGAGAAAACTGGGACTGCCTGAAGTTTGCAGGAGTAGGAATTTGCTGCATGGCCCATATCCTCTCTGGGGCAGGTTTTCTCTCCCCAGGGGTGAGGATAAGGGTTCAATAATTAACACTCTAATGGACTAGCAATGCTTTGTTTTCCTCTGGATACCTAGTAGCTAGTTTTGCTAGGAAGTTAAACCAATGTACAAGACTAGAGTCTCAGGCTGGGAAAGGAGACAGACTAACAAATCATTTACATTTAACCATCTACATTATGGATTATTGTGCACCCCCCTTAAGAGATAGGCCCTTTAAGTCCTCAGTGAGGACCTGTCCAAATAGGTGCAGGACTATCTGAGTTAGCTGTTACTGAAAGCCCTGTGTTTAGGAACTGGCAGGGAGGGCTTTCTAAGCTTAATGCTATTGGATAGACTTTTAAGGCCGGCTGGGTGTGTGAGGCCCAGACCTATCCATGGGGTGCTGGAAGAGAATTGCAAGAGATGCAAATCTCCTTTAAGGGAGGCCCCCTGCTGACTTGCATTACATGGCTGGACTAGGAGGAGAGCTGAATAGGAGGCTGATGGAAATAGGCAACTTGCATGTCACTGACCCTAGGCCATCCCCAATAGCAGTGGCTGGAGCTGGAAGATGGGCGGACGCTGGGCAGAGCCAAAGGCTTTTTAGCTCAGGGCCACAGGGTCTGCGGTTCTGAACCAGGAGTCCTTCGACACCCAGGGCAGTTCCGTGTCCAGTGGCCTTGCTCTTGGCAGAGCTGACAGAAGGCATTTGCTGTCATGACACCTGCTTGCCCAATGCCCTGGCTCCTCATATCAGCAACAGGTGCTGTTTGGGGTGCACTGGCCTTGCTGGGTCTCCTTGACGGCAGATCACTGTGTAAAGCAGCCATGGATGGGCCTGTTGCCCATCCTCTGCTGCTTGCTTGCTCCTCGTTCTCCTGGTCTCTAATAAAGTAGACCAAATAGGCAGCCTCTATTTTGTCAGTCAAGGGGGTGCTCAACCCATCCCTGATTTTTGAAGATTTCTTTAATGTCAGGGTGAGCTAAAAAACTGTGGTCATGGGCAAATTCTGACACTTAGTATTTTCCTGCGAGTTAAGACCGCGCCCATGAGGAGAACTATGACCCTTTAGGTAAGATCCACTGTGGTGACCTGCTTGCATACTTTGAGGTCATCAGTGCAACTTCCTATCTATCCCTCAGTTTGGTTTAAAAGGGGAGTTCTGCCCATTTACCGCGTACACCGAAAAATCAATCTAGCTGTCACATCAGTTCATAGTTTAACCTCTTTTTCTGGCTATGCTGTTTGGGGGCCCTATACTGTGGCCAGGCATTATTACAGAAAAGGTCAGTCATCTCTTACATCAGGTCTGGGGATCAAACCGTACATCACAGTGGAGAGTCCTGCAGAACAGTAGTAACTTCCCTTCTGGAAGAGAAAAGAGGAGAAGTGAGGCAGCAAGTCGGGTCTCTAGCCTGACTTCCTGGGCTTTCAGATTTAACTGGCATTTGACCAGTGCTTACTGCATAGCCTGATTTAAGAGGAGAAATTGTGGCAGAGGTCTCTGCCATCCCTTAGCTTCTGGATATTTACCATGTAGCCAGTGGGCTATGGGCCTGGGTTTCTGGGTTTAACTAGTCTTACTGTGTAACCCATAAGTTTAGGTTTTGGGCTTCCGGGCTTTCACCGTGTAGCTGTGGACACTAGAGTTTTCTTGGGCTCCTGGAACCCAGTGCTCTAGCATCTGCCGCATAACCATCCCCTGTTGGCTCTAAGTCTCTTTTGGAACACTTTCTCCCTTTTGGCTAGACCTCTGTTTGATCCACATTTGAACTAGCAATGCCTGGTTGTTCAGCGCTAGCTGGATGGAGACTGTGTCAGCCCCTGTTTAAAGGATCTGGCTTCTGAGCCAGAGACTGGAGCAGCTAGAAAGAAACACATTTATTGTCGCTCCCCCTCTTCGCGGAGGAACGACACAGGACCCCGGCTGTTCTGCTCAGCCCTCCCTGGGTTTGCTGCCGTCCCTCCACCTCCATTGAGGGGCGGGCCCCCCTGCCAGTTTCCCCACTTCCGCGGGGGAGAGGCACACGGCCGGTTGGCTCTCTTGGGGGCTGCTCAGATGTTCCTCAGGTGTTCCTGGTGCATGTTGGCTCTCTCCTCCTTTATAGTCCTCTTCCACCAATCCCAACTCTGCTACCCACATGCCGAGTACGC